ATATTTTTTTGAAAATAGCCTACTTTGATCAAAACCAAAAATGCTTTAAATTGCATTTTAAAACATATCTAGGTATTATAAATGATAAAGAATGCTAATTTAGATATAAAATCGATATTTTTTTGAAAAAAGCCTACTTTGATCAAAACCAAAAATGCTTTAAATTTCATTTTAAAACATATCTAGGTATTACAAATGATAAAGAATGCTAATTTAGATATAAAATCGATGTTTTTTTGAAAATAGCCTACTTTGATCAAAACCAAAAATGCTTTAAATCTCATTTTAAAACATATCTAGGTATTATAAATGATAAAGAATGCTAATTTAGATATAAAATCGATATTTTTTTGAAAATAGCCCTACTTTGATCAAAACCAAAAATGCTTTAAATTTCATTTTAAAACATATCTAGGTATTATAAATGATAAAGAATGCTAATTTAGATATAAAATCGATATTTTTTTGAAAATAGCCTACTTTGATCAAAACCAAAAATGCTTTAAATTTCATTTTAAAACATATCTAGGTATTATAAATGATAAAGAATGCTAATTTAGATATAAAATCGATATTTTTTTGAAAATAGCCTACTTTGATCAAAACCAAAAATGCTTTAAATTTCATTTTAAAACATATCTAGGTATTATAAATGATAAAGAATGCTAATTTAGATATAAAATCGATATTTTTTTGAAAATAGCCTACTTTGATCAAAACCAAAAATGCTTTAAATTTCATTTTAAAACATATCTAGGTATTATAAATGATAAAGAATGCTAATTTAGATATAAAATCGATATTTTTTTAAAAATAGCCTACTTTGATCAAAACCAAACTTGCTTTAAATTTCATTTTAAAACATATCTAGGTATTATAAATGATAAAGAATGCTAATTTAGATATAAAATCGATATTTTTTTGAAAATAGCCTACTTTGATCAAAACCAAACTTGGTTTAAATTTCATTTTAAAACATATCTAGGTATTATAAATGATAAAGAATGCTAATTTAGATATAAAATCGATATTTTTTTGAAAATAGCCTACTTTGATCAAAACCAAAAATGCTTTAAATTTCATTTTAAAACATATCTAGGTATTATAAATGATAAAGAATGCTAATTTAGATATAAAATCGATATTTTTTTGAAAATAGCCTACTTTGATCAAAACCAAAAATGCTTTAAATTTCATTTTAAAACATATCTAGGTATTATAAATGATAAAGAATGCTAATTTAGATATAAAATCGATATTTTTTTGAAAATAGCCTACTTTGATCAAAACCAAACTTGCTTTAAATTTCATTTTAAAACATATCTAGGTATTATAAATGATAAAGAATGCTAACTTAGATATCAAATCGATATTTTGTTGAGAAAAAACCTACTATGATCAAAACCAAAAATGCTTTAAATTTCATTTTAAAACATATCTAGGTATTTTAAATGATAAAGAATGCTAATTTAGATATAAAATCGATATTTTTTTGAAAATAGCCTACTTTGATCAAAACCAAAAATGCTTTAAATTTCATTTTAAAACATATCTAGGTATTACAAATGATAAAGAATGCTAATTTAGATATAAAATCGATATTTTTTTGAAAATAGCCTACTTTGATCAAAACCAAAAATGCTTTAAATTTCATTTTAAAACATATCTAGGTATCATAAATGATAACAAATGCTAATTTAGATATAAAATCGATATTTTTTTGAAAATAGCCTACTTTGATCAAAACCAAAAATGCTTTAAATTTCATTTTAAAACATATCTAGGTATTATAAATGATAAAGAATGCTAATTTAGATATAAAATCGATATTTTTTTGAAAATAGCTACTTTGATCAAAACCAAAAATGCTTTAAATTTCATTTTAAAACATATCTAGGTATTATAAATGATAAAGAATGCTAATTTAGATATAAAATCGATATTTTTTTGAAAATAGCCTACTTTGATCAAAACCAAAAATGCTTTAAATTTCATTTTAAAACATATCTAGGTATTATAAATGATAAAGAATGCTAATTTAGATATAAAATCGATATTTTTTTGAAAATAGCCTACTTTGATCAAAACCAAAAATGCTTTAAATTTCATTTTAAAACATATCTAGGTATTATAAATGATAAAGAATGCTAATTTAGATATAAAATCGATATTTTTTTGAAAATAGCCTACTTTGATCAAAACCAAAAATGCTTTAAATTTCATTTTAAAACATATCTAGGTATTATAAATGATAAAGAATGCTAACTTAGATATAAAATCGATATTTTTTTGAAAATAGCCTACTTTGATCAAAACCAAACTTGCTTTAAATTTCATTTTAAAACATATCTAGGTATTATAAATGATAAAGAATGCTAATTTAGATATAAAATCGATATTTTTTTGAAAAAAGCCTACTTTGATCAAAACCAAAAATGCTTTAAATTTCATTTTAAAACATATCTAGGTATTATAAATGATAAAGAATGCTAATTTAGATATAAAATCGATATTTTTTTGAAAATAGACTATTTTCAAAAAAATATCGATTTTATATCTAAATTAGCATTTGTTATCATTTTTAATACCTAGATATGTTTTAAAATACAATTTAAAGCATTTTTGGTTTCGATCATAGTAGTCTATTTTCAAAAAAATATCGATTTTATATTTAAATTAGCATTCTTTATCATTTAAAATACCTAGATATGATTTAAAATGAAATTTAAAGCATTTTTGGTTTTGATCATAGTAGGCTATTCTCAAAAAAATATCGATTTTATATTTAAATTAGCATTTGTTATCATTTATAATACCTAGATATGTTTTAAAATGAAATTTAAAGCATTTTTGGTTTTGATCATAGGATGCTATTTTCAAAAAAATATCGATTTTATATTTAAATTAGCATTTTTTATCATTTATAATACCTTAATATGTTTTAAAATACAATTTTAAGCATTTTTGGTTTCGATCATAGTAGGCTATTCTCAAAAAAATATCGATTTTATATCTAAATTAGCATTCTTTATCATTTATAATACCTAGATATGTTTTAAAATGAAATTTAAAGCATTTTTGGTTTTGATCATAGTATGCTTTTTTCAAAAAAATATCGATTTTATATTTAAATTAGCATTTGTTATCATTTATAATACCTAGATATGTTTTAAAATGAAATTTAAAGCATTTTTGGTTTTGATCATAGTATGCTTTTTTCAAAAAAATATCGATTTTATATTTAAATTAGCATTTGTTATCATTTATAATACCTAGATATGTTTTAAAATGAAATTTAAAGCATTTTTGGTTTTGATCATAGTAGGCTATTCTCAAAAAAAAATATCGATTTTATATATAAATTAGCATTCTTTATCATTTTATTATTATTATTATTACACGCTTTTATTCAACTCACTCTGTTATGTAGCGTCAAATCTTGTAATCGATATTTCGACCACTTCCTCTACTCCAATCAAGCTGAAAATTTGCATACGTGTGTATTCTTGATGACAATTCAATATTCGAGGTATAAAAGATCATAAAATTGGTTAATTAGAGGAGAATTTCAAAAAAATTGAAAAAAATCCAATGTCAATGATGTGCATTTTATAATTGCAATAATTATCCTGTTTGTGGAGCTAAAAATCCACTACTGCATTAGATTATGCATTAGTTTACATTATTAATCATTAATTATATTAAAATCTGTACTTGTTTTAGACATTTTAATAAAACACAAAAACGACAAGTCATTTTCTCATGGATACCCTCAGTATAAATTTGGATTTCAAAAAACCGTTATGACAAAAATTATGTTAAATCTTAAAACTAGTTGTCTTTTAAATCAACTTCGACAAAAACCATAATATAAAACTCTTCGTAATTGTCAATTATAAAACGAATGCCTAGATAATGAGATATTAATTTACATTTGAATTAAAAGTTCATCACAAGATTCACAAGATAAAAATTAATCTTAGGATTTAAATTAATCCAAAGATTTAAATCAATGCCTCTATTAGAATTAATTCAACAACAATAAACTTTAATGAATTTTTAAAACTGTAGTAATTATGCGGTATATTACTTACAAAAATAACATATGCTACTTAAAAATGTCACTATGTCAGACTCGTTTTCCTATAATATATGTGTTAATGGGTTGAAAGGATGAGAGAAAGTATTAATTGTTGAAGGGTGTGGGTTCGAATCTTGTCATGAACGACTTCTTTTTTTTTGCTCATTTTTGAGAACTTGTTTTAAGTTAATGTTTAAAATTTGTAAAATAAGGCCTGCAATGAGTTTAAATGTTTCTGTTCAATTAATTAATCATTTATGTATAGCTTTCCGCCTAAATCTAAAAATTATAAATTAGGATTCGGTGGTGTAAGTGGAAGCGTGATGTGCTTTTTCATAAAAATTATCAAACATGTTAACTTTATATATAACCTTTAGCAATAAATAAATTAATTTCTTGAGTACCCCAGTGGCGTAGTTGGTAAACTGATGTACCTTTATCACAACATTTTTGTTTTGAAAATTTCGAAATGTGTAGTTTAAATATAGGTTTTAGTTGTATAAAATTTAGAGCTACATCAGCTGTAGTGGGCTAAGTGGAAAGACGCTTGGTTTCGTTGACTTTCATATAATTTCTAAAATTGTATGGAACCATCGGGCTAAGGTTCGAATCCAGGTGCTGCTGTAGTCTCTACCACCCAAGTTAATAGTGGATACGTGCTGAGAACTGAATGGCATAGGGGTGGTTATAAAAATGCTATGTCGCTAACGTACCTCAGGGCACCTGGCACACCCTGTTGTATAAGTGCCTTATCCTCCTATGGGGCCGCTGGGAGGATGGACTGTTTATTGCCGCCATACTCGTGGGACCCAAAATGAAAACCCTAAAAAAAACCAAACCCCCCAAAACAAAAAAGACGGAGTCCGTTACACAACGGACTAAACGATTAGAAAAAGCAAGACAAAAGTATAAGGAGAAAATGCAAAATCCAATTGCCAAACGTGCAAGATTAGACATGCAAAATAAGAGAAGAGAGAAAGAAACAGCTGATCAGCGTGCAACACGTTTAGACCAGAGACGCGAACATTACTTAGAAATTGTATCAGCTCTAACACCCGAACAGTATCAAGCAAGAATCTCTCAAGCTAGACAAAATATGTCTCAATTACGACAACGTGTACGAGCTGATATTGAAACTTTCGAGGAAACAATCAACACCTTCTGTAATGAGACATGCGAAGTTTGTACTAAGAAATGCTATCCAACCCAAATAGTGTCCTGTCAACCAAGTCCGCAAGCATTAGAATACTTCCCTAATGAGTTGAAGAGATCAGAGCCACTTAGAGTTTGTCATAGATGCAAGACTCATATCACAAGCAAGAAGACTATGTGGCCATCAAAAGCATACTGGAACAACCTAGATCCAGGTGTAATTCCAGATGAGATCCTTCAACTAAGTAAAGCTGAACAAGGATTACTGGCGAGAGTTACACCATATGTGAAAATCATCCATCTCCCAGGAAGATTTGGTCAATACGGATTTCGTGGACAAGCAGTGCTATTTGCTCAAGACCTCTTTGAGGTGACAGAAAAGCTTCCTCATATGCTACCGAGATCAACAAGCGATTCACAAATGATGGTAGTAACTTCGCACTTGGAAAACCTTAACATAACCAGAGAATATACTGTTTCAAGAACACGACTCAATGATGCATTACAGTGGCTAATCGATAATAACCCACTGTACAAAGATGTAGTTATCGACCACGATGTTCGGTTGAACCAAAATGACTTAATTCGTGAACAACAAGCTGAAGAAGAGTCAGGTCAGAATCAAGAGACTAGTGCTTACAAAGAGATCGGAACATCATCTAGAATACTACGAGCATCATGGCACCAAGGAAATGAGTCGATGTTCACATCTGGTTACGCTGGTGTACAGTGCGCAGCGATGGTATTGGCAAATATAGTAAGAGCAGTGATTATACCACCTAATCAATGGACTAAGCTAATGCTCGATGGAAATATGATAGCTGGAGACGAGATATACACTAAGATAAGAAACAGTTCCAATAGAAATCTCGATGTGAATGGACATTTGGATATACGAGACTTCAATAACATCAGAGGAGGTTTCCAAATGTTTGAGAACAGCTTTAATATCAACTATGCGCCAGAATCACCATTCTTTGGTAGTTTAAGAGATAGTGTAAATGCCCCTCCATCTGTTGGTCAAACGTTAATGGCTTCTCTTCAGTCACTATTTGAGAGCCATAGTTCAGGAGTTCTGATTGCTGAGTCACTATCATTAGGAGTCATGCATTACAATGATAGATATTACTTCACAGACTCGCATTCTTGTGGTGCTAGAGGAGTAAAAGCTGGTGATGGCAAAGCTTGCATTATAGAGTGTGATAATATTACAGAACTTGTAAGAATATGTAAGCGAGCCACAGGATCAGCTAACAAGCCATATACACTAGACTTCATAGACGTCCACCTGACTAATGGTACAATAATCTATTCCAATGACTGTGAAATTCCGATCGAAGAGCCATTAATTCAAATGTCACAGTTCTCAGAAATACCAGTGCTAACATCTGTGATGGGACCAATAGACTGTGTACAGCCAGATGTCGAAGAAGAGCTTGAAGTGTCTGAGAGCCTGAATGAAATAGTACGAAAGACAAGAGACAACCTCGTCAATGAAGCTCATGAATGGAAATCAGAGGAATTCGCATGGTATTATTTGTTCCCAAATGGAGTTAATGGACTTAAGGATCAACGACCTGTAAAGATCACACCACTTGACTACTACCAGTTTCGAATACTAGGGTCCGATACAAGATTCCAAAGCAATGCATACTTGTTCTACGCATTGTCCTTCTTCGAATACTATAGAGTCAAGTCAACAATTGCAGCTTGTGGTAAGAAGATAGAAGGTCCTGATGGAAAAGTAGAAGATGTTCACCTCTATGTGAGAAACTTGAGAGGCTCTTCTGCATACTGGCGTTCAGCGATGAATGAATTAATTGCACAGATCAGATGTTTAGGACCTCCAACATACTTCCTTACCTTCAGCTGCAATGATCTCAACTGGTTGGATATGAGAAAAGCCCTGTTGATAGCAGATGGACGACCAAATGAAGACCCTGCAAGCCTCGATATGTTCACAACACAAATACTAATTGAAAAGTATCCAGTAATAGTCAGCCGCCACTTCATGATCAGAGTTAAAGCTCTCATGAGAATCCTCAAGAATAACACTGACGTATTTGGTGGAAAAATGGTTGACTACTGGTGGAGAGTTGAATTCCAAGTGAGAGGAAGTCCGCATTTACATATGGTAGTATGGATAGAAGATCATCCATCCTTCGACACACCAGAAGGAATTGAGAAAATCGATCGTAACTGCTCATGTGAAATACCTGAAGAAGGATCGGATTTGTATGAGCTTGTAATGAAATCGCAAATCCACCGCCATACACACACTTGTAGTAAGAATGACCCTAACTCGAATGTATGCAGATTCAGTTTCCCACGGCAAGTATGCGAAGAAACTAAAATCGTTGCCCACTCATCAGATGAGTTTATCAGAAGTGGAGGAAGAATATGCATACTCAAGAGAAGGCAACAAGATAAATGGGTCAATAACTACAATCCGACACTTCTCAAGTTGTGGAAAGGTAATATGGATATACAACCATGTGGATCTAATGAAGCGATAGCACATTACATTGCAAAGTACATGTCGAAACCAGAGCCTACAACACTTGACAGAGGTGTAGCACAAGCCATACAGCAAATACGACGTGAAGAGACAAACATTTCTCGGAAGCTCTTCAAGATATGTATGAAGATCTTAGGACAAAGACAGATATCAGCATGTGAAGCTGTGTTCCGGTTAGCTCATCTAAATATGAAAGAAAGCTCAAGAAAGACTGTGTTTCTCAACACACGCAAACCTGAACAACGCTACAAGATGTTGCAATTCGATCAACATGGACATGCATCGGGATATTGTAGCAACATATTCAATAGATACGAGCAAAGACCTGATACACATCCTAAATTCGACTTCGATAATATGAGCTTAATCGAATTTGCTATGCTGTTTGAGCCTCACTACCGGAAGCAAGATGGAGATAATGAAGAGAGTATCGATTATGATCCTTCTGAAGAAGAGTTCTCTACAACTCGAACGATAGTCAGACTGAAAGATGACACCAGAATGGTATTGAGAACTAGACCAGCAGTTATACAAGTACCATTCTTCATGGCAGCTAATGATCCTGAGAATTACTACTATAGCTTCCTCGTTCAGTACATGCCATACCGCCAAGAAAGAGAGCTGATTGAAGACTATGATTCAGGACAAGAGGCATTCATCGCACGAGAAGAACGACTAAAGGAAATAAGCAAATATATGGAGACATATAGAGAGCGTGATAAGCAGTTACAAAATGCCTTCAACCAGGTGCATGCATTCGAGATTCTAGCGGAAGGTGCACCAATTGAAGAGGAGCCCTATGAGGAAGAAATTCCTGAAGTTGGAATGACTGATGACCAATTTGTAACTGCACAGCGAGCGATGAATGTAGGCCAGCGAGAATTGTTCATCCACATAACACAGAGCATACAGGATCAGATGAATGGAAGCACTGATCGAGAGAGACTCTTCATAACTGGTGGTGCAGGTACTGGAAAGACATTTGTGTTCAACCTACTAAAGAATCAGGTGAACAGATGTTATGGCAAAATAGCTACAAAATCAGCAGCGTTAACAGGAGTAGCAGCACGACTAGTTGGTGGTATGACATTGCATAGCATATTGAAACTCCCTGTAGAGAAGAATGGTAGAACAACAGGACTAGCAATCCTGACTGGTAACGTTCTCCGAACAATGCGTATGCAATGGAAAGATATAGAATTCCTCTTCATAGATGAGATCTCTATGGTGTCATACCAGGTATTATGCATGATTGATTCGCGCCTCAAGCAACTTAAGAATAATGACGAGTTATTTGGAGGTATCAATGTACTTCTCTTCGGTGATCTCATGCAATTACCACCGATAAGAGCAAATCAAGTGTTTGAACAGCCAACATCAATGAGAGCAGCCATACATCTCTGGAGAATATTCACACTAGTAGAATTAACACAGAATATGCGGCAAGAAGGTGACACCACATTCATAGACATCTTGAATGCATTAAGAGTTGGTGAATTGCAGCCTCATCATATGGCAGTACTGATTAGTAAAGTTGGAAACAACTTTACAGGTGAGTTTTCCATAGAGAAGGCACTTCGAATAAGACCTCATAAAAAAACAGTTGCCGCACATAACCAACAAGTCCTAGATCACTTCAGAAGTATTGGAACAGAGATGTTTATGATCAGAGCTCAGGATACGCTAGTGGATGCTACCAGAAACGAGGAAAATATCGATATGGAAAGAGCAGTGCCGAAGGACATCGACAATACGGCTGGACTTCCGAAAGAGCTGGAGATATTTGTGGGAGCAAAAGTGATGCTAAGAATTAATATGGATGTTCAAAAGGGACTGGTGAATGGTGCAATGGGCTTCATATCCGAAATCATATGGCCATTGTTTCATAGAGGACAATTACATGATTATGACATACCTTCAGTCCGCATCGACTTTGGCAGAGATGGCATCCATACAATCAAACCAGTATCGAAACAATTCCCTGCCAACTACAGCTATGGCACTATCGAAAGAAGAATGCTACCATTAATACTCTCATGGGCTTCTACAGCACATAAGATGCAGGGATCAACTGTAGACTACGCAGTATTGGATCTAGGATCAGATGTATTTGCAGACGGTCAGGCATACGTAATGCTCAGTCGAGTAAGATCTCTTGATGGTGTTCTGATTGAGAAGCTAGAATGTGAGAAACTAACAGGCAAGAAACCTTGCAACAAGGAAGCTTTGAAAGAAATGGAAAGACTTAGAGCCATTGCACGAGACTAAATAAGCATAATAATAAAAATTGACTTTATAATATGACTAATACAACTTGACTATAGTAATATAATAATATAATTGCATAAATATATAATGACATTTAAATCTGACGTAGTGCTCTCGGATCGCACTTTAAAAGGTAAGGTCCACTGATAGACTTCAAGTCTAACTTTTTGCAAACATAGTAGACGAATACACATGAGCAAAGTTCAGTAATATCATGATTGAAATATTGTCGAGATATCAATTATTTGACATGACTAAAAAGTAGAAAATAAAAATACTTAAAAAAAACTTTTTTTTAAAAACACGCTTTTATTTCCGATTACAGTGCACTAAAAAGAAGAAAATAATTTTTTTTCTGAGTACCCAAATTTGATACAAAATTTTATGACTAAAAATAAAAGCGTGGGGCGCTTAAGATAAACTTAACTATATTTTCCATAACAATTTAAAAAAATCATCCGTGTATGTTTATATAAACGTTAGGTCTTTTATGTTTGTAGATCATACTAAGGAAAGGCGTAAGGCAACACAAATTATGTTAAATCTAGGTGAAGTAAAAATAAAATTTATCTGAGACTAAGGTAGGATTCCCAGTGTGGTCGAGATTAGAAATCACACATAGTCCTACTTCTTTGCTTAATCTAACTACTTCCTCCATGTCAAAGATACAAATTTAACATAATACCTATTTAATAGATGCTATTTTCGAGACACAAAATTTTTAAAGGTCTTTACATCAAAAAGAAAAGGATAATTAGAACGTAATGTAAATAAATTATATCTAAATAAGCATTCTTTATCATTTATAATACCTAGGTATGTTTTAAAATGCAATTTAAAGCATTTTTGGTTTTGATTATAGTAGGCTATTTTCAAAAAAATATCGATTTTATATCTAAATTAGCATTCTTTATCATTTATAATACCTTGATATGTTTCAAAATACAATTTTAAGCATTTTTGGTTTCGATCATAGTAGGCTATTTTCAAAAAAAAATCATCTATAATACCTAGGTATGTTTCAAAATGCAATTTAAAGCATTTTTGGTTTTGATCAAAGTAGGCTATTTTAATAAAAAATATCGATTTTATATCTAAATAAGCATTCTTTATCATTTATAATACCTAGGTATGTTTTAAAATGCAATTTAAAGCATTTTTGGTTTTGATCATAGAAGGCTATTTTCAAAAAAATATCGATTTTATATCTAAATTAGCATTCTTTATCATTTATAATACCTAGATATGTTATAAAATGAAATTTAAACCATTTTTGGTTTTGATCAAAGTAGGCTTTTTTCAAAAAAGTATCGATTTTATATCTATATAAACATTCTTTATCATTTATAATGCCTATATATGTTTTAAAATGAAATTTAAAGCTTTTTTGGTTTCGATCTTAGTCGGCTATTTTCAAAAAAATATCGATTTTATATCTAAGTTAGCATTCTTTATCATTTATAATACCTAGATGTGTTTTAAAATGAAATTTAAACCATTTTTGGTTTTGATCAAAGTAGGCTATTTCAATAAAATATCGATTTTATATCTAAATTAGCATTCTTTATCATTTATAATACCTAGATATGTTTTAAAATGAAATTTAAAGTATTTTTGGTTTTGATCAAAGTAGGCTATTTTCAAAAAAATATCGATTTTATATCTAAATTAGCATTCTTTATCATTTATAATACCTAGATATGTTTTAAAATGAAATTTAAAGCATTTTTGGTTTTGATCAAAGTAGGCTTTTTTCAAAAAAAAATCATTTATAATACCTAGGTATGTTTCAAAATGCAATTTAAAGCATTTTTGGTTTTGATCAAAGTAGGCTATTTTAAAAAAAAATATCGATTTTATATCTAAATAAGCATTCTTTATCATTTATAATACCTAGGTTTGTTTTAAAATGCAATTTAAAGCATTTTTGGTTTTGATCAAAGTAGGCTTTTTTCAAAAAAATATCGATTTTATATCTAAATTAGCATTCTTTATCATTTATAATACCTAGATATGTTTTAAAATGAAATTTAAAGCAAGTTTGGTTTTGATCAAAGTAGGCTATTTTCAAAAAAATATCGATTTTATATCTAAATTAGCATTCTTTATCATTTATAATACCTAGATATGTTTTAAAATGAAATTTAAAGCATTTTTGGTTTTGATCAAAGTAGGCTATTTTCAAAAAAATATCGATTTTATATCTAAATTAGCATTCTTTATCATTTATAATACCTAGATATGCTTTAAATTTCATTTTAAAACATATCTAGGTATTATAAATGATAAAGAATGCTAATTTAGATATAAAATCGATATTTTTTTGAAAATAGCCTACTTTGATCAAAACCAAAAATGCTTTAAATTTCATTTTAAAACATATCTAGGTATTATAAATGATAAAGAATGCTAATTTAGATATAAAATCGATATTTTTTTGAAAATAGCCTACTTTGATCAAAACCAAACTTGCTTTAAATTTCATTTTAAAACATATCTAGGTATTATAAATGATAAAGAATGCTAATTTAGATATAAAATCGATATTTTTTTGAAAAAAGCCTACTTTGATCAAAACCAAAAATGCTTTAAATTTCATTTTAAAACATATCTAGGTATTATAAATGATAAAGAATGCTAATTTAGATATAAAATCGATATTTTTTTGAAAATAGCCTACTTTGATCAAAACCAAAAATACTTTAAATTTCATTTTAAAACATATCTAGGTATTATAAATGATAAAGAATGCTAATTTATATATAAAATCGATATTTTTTTGAAAATAGCCTACTATGATCAAAACCAAAAATGCTTTAAATTTCATTTTAAAACATATCTAGGTATTATAAATGATAAAGAATGCTAATTTAGATATAAAATCGATATTTTTTTGAAAATAGCCTACTATGATCAAAACCAAAAATGCTTTAAATTTCATTTTAAAACATATCAAGGTATTATAAATGATAAAGAATGCTAATTTAGATATAAAATCGATATTTTTTAAAAATAGCCTACTTTGATCAAAACCAAAAATGCTTTAATTTACATTTTAAAACATATCTAGGTATTATAAATGAGTTTTTTTTGAAAATAGCCTACTATGATCGAAACCAAAAATGCTTTAAATTTAATTTTAAAACATATCAAGGTATTATAAATGATAAAGAATGCTAATTTAGATATAAAATCGATATTTTTTTGAAAATAGCATACTATGATCAAAACCAAAAATGCTTTAAATTTAATTTTAAAACAAATCAAGGTATTATAAATGATAAAGAATGCTAATTTAGATATAAAATCGATATTTTTTTGAAAATAGCCTTTTATGATCAAAACCAAAAATGCTTTAAATTTCATTTTAAAACATATCTAGGTATTATAAATGATAAAGAATGCTAATTTAGATATAAAATCGATATTTTTTTGAAAATAGCCTACTATGATCGAAACCAAAAATGCTTTAAATTTCATTTTAAAACATATCTAGGTATTATAAATGATAAAGAATGCTAATTTAGATGTAAAATCGACATTTTCTTGAAAATAGCCTACTATGATCAAAACCAAAAATGCTTTAAATTACATTTTAAAACATATCTAGGTATTATAAATGATAAAGAATGCTAATTTAGATATAAAATCGATATTTTTTTGAAAATAGCCTACTATGATCAAAACCAAAATTGCTTTAAATTACATTTTAAAACATATCTAGGTATTATAAATGATAAAGAATGCTAATTTAGATATAAAATCGATACATTTTTAGAAATAGCCTACTATGATCAAAACCAAAAATGCTTTAAATTTCATTCTAAAACATATCTAGGTATTATAAATGATAAAGAATGCTAATTTAGATGTAAAATCGATATTTTCTTGAAAATAGCCTACTATGATCAAAACCAAAATTGCTTTAAATTACATTTTAAAACATATCTAGGTATTATAAATGATAAAGAATGATAATTTAGATATATAATCGATATTTTTTTGAAAATAGCCTACTATGATCAAAACCAAAAATGCTTAAAATTTCATTTTTAAAACATATCTAGGTATTATAAATGATAAAGAATGCTAATTAAGATATAAAATCGATATTTTTTTGAAAAAAGCCTACTATGATCAAAACCAAAAATGCTTTAAATTGCATTTTAAAACAAATCTAGGTATTATAAATGATAAAGAATGCTAATTTAGATATAAAATCAATATTTTTTTGAAAAAAGCCTACTATGATCAAAACCAAAAATGCTTTAAATTCATTTTAAAACATATCTAGGTATTATAAATGATAAAGAATGCTAATTTAGATGTAAAATCGATATTTTCTTGAAAATAGCCTACTATGATCGAAACCAAAAATGCTTTAAATTCATTTTAAAACATATCTAGGTATTATAAATGATAAAGAATGCTAATTTAGATATAAAATCAATATTTTTTTGAAAAAAGCCTACTATGATCAAAACCAAAAATGCTTTAAATTGCATTTTAAAACATATCTAGGTATTATAAATGATTAAGAATGCTAATTTAGATATAAAATCGATATTTTTTTGAAAATAGCCTACTATGATCGAAACCAAAAATGCTTTAAATTGCATTTTAAAACAAATCTAGGTATTATAAATGATAAAGAATGCTAATTTAGATATAAAATCGATATTTTTTTGAAAATAGCGTACTATGATCAAAACCAAAAATGCTTTAAATTGCATTTTAAAACATATCAAGGTATTATTAATGATAAAGAATGCTAATTTAGATATAAAATCGATATTTTTTTGAAAATAGCCTACTATGATCAAAACCAAAAAATGCTTTAAATTTAATTTTAAAACATATCTAGGTATTATAAATGATAAAGAATGCTAATTTGGATATAAAATCAATATTTTTTTGAAAAAAGCCTACTATGATCAAAACCAAAAATGCTTTAAATTGCATTTTAAAACATATCTAGGTATTATAAATGATAAAGAATGCTAATTTAGATATAAAATCGATATTTTTTTGAAAATAGCCTACTATGATCAAAGCCAAAAATGCTTTAAATTTCATTTTAAAACATATCTAGGTATTATAAATTATAAAGAATGCAAAGTTAGATATAAAATCGATATTTTTTTGAAAATAGCCTACTATGATCAAAACCAAAAATGCTTTAAATTTCATTTTAAAACATATCTAGGTATTATAAATGATAAAGAATGCAAAGTTAGATATAAAATCGATATTTTTTTGATAATAGCCTACTATGATCAAAACCAAAAATGCTTTAAATTTCATTTTAAAACATATCTAGGTATTATAAATGATAAAGAATGCTAATTTGGATATAAAATCAATATTTTTTTGAAAAAAGCCTACTATGATCAAAACCAAAAATGCTTTAAATTGCATTTTAAAACATATCTAGGTATTATAAATGATAAAGAATGCTAATTTGGATATAAAATCAATATTTTTTTGAAAAAAGCCTACTATGATCAAAACCAAAAATGCTTTAAATTGCATTTTAAAACATATCTAGGTATTATAAATGATAAAGAATGTTAATTTAGATATAAAATCGATATTTTTTTGAAAATAGCCTACTATGATCGAAACCAAAAATGCTTTAAATTTCATTTTAAAACATATCTAGGTATTATAAATGATAAAGAATGCAAAGTTAGATATAAAATCGATATTTTTTTGAAAATAGCCTACTATGATCAAAACCAAAAATGCTTTAAATTTCATTTTAAAACATATCTAGGTATTATAAATGATAAAGAATGCTAATTTAGATATAAAATCGATATTTTTTTGAAAATAGCCTACTATGATCAAAACCAAAAATGCTTTAAATTGCATTTTAAAACAAATCTAGGTATTATAAATGATAAAGAATGCTAATTTAGATGTAAAATCGATATTTTCTTGAAAATAGCCTACTATGATCAAAACCAAAAATGCTTTAAATTTCATTTTAAAACATATCTAGGTATTATAAATTATAAAGAATGCAAAGTTAGATATAAAATCGATATTTTTTTGAAAATAGCGTACTATGATCAAAACCAAAAATGCTTTAAATTTCATTTTAAAACATATCTAGGTATTATAAATGATAAAGAATGCAAAGTTAGATATAAAATCGATATTTTTTTGAAAATAGCCTACTATGATCAAAACCAAAAATGCTTTAAATTGCATTTTAAAACATATCTAGGTATTATAAATTATAAAGAATGCAAAGTTAGATATAAAATCGATATTTTTTTGAAAATAGCGTACTATGATCAAAACCAAAAATGCTTTAAATTTCATTTTAAAACATATCTAGGTATTATAAATGATAAAGAATGCAAAGTTAGATATAAAATCGATATTTTTTTGAAAATAGCCTACTATGATCAAAACCAAAAATGCTTTAAATTGCATTTTAAAACAAATCTAGGTATTATAAATGATAAAGAATGCTAATTTAGATATAAAATCGATATTTTTTTGAAAATAGCCTACTATGATCAAAACCAAAAATGCTTTAAATTTCATTTTAAAACATATCTAGGTATTATAAATGATAAAGAATGCTAATTTAGTTATAAAATCGATATTTTTTTGAAAATAGCCTACTATGATCAAAACCAAAAATGCTTTAAATTTCATTTTAAAACATATCTAGGTATTATAAATGATAACAAATGCTAATTTAGATATAAAATCGATATTTTTTTTGAAAATAGCCTATTATGATCAAAACCAAAAATGCTTTAAATTTCATTTTAAAACATATCTAGGTATTATAAATGATAAAAAATGCTAATATAGATATAAAATCAATATTTTTTTGAAAATAGCCTTCTATGATCGAAACCAAAAATGCTTTAAATTGCATTTCAAAACATATCTGGGTATTATAAATGATAAATAATGCTAATGCAGAAATAAAATTAATACATTTTTGAAAATAGCCTTCTATGATCGAAAACATATCTAGGCATTAGAAATTCACAAAAAATATGTTTTTTAAACAAAACAAAAATATGAGAACCTTGCAAATCTTACATTGACAAATCACGATCGGCGGCAGTTGTGAGGAGAATCAACTGTTTCACGTGGGTTTTTTGTGTTTTAACCACAATCGTGGACAAGAAGGTTCTATCATAACCATAACCTAGACATTGAATATTATTGGAATACAACGGATTAGCTTCAATTGTGAGGAGAATTTGTCTCGCGATGGGTTTTGTGTGTTTTCCCATATATCGCGGGCAAGTTCTAACAATCAATTGGTGCTGACTGGATTTCAACAAATCAACATTGACAAACAGGAATCGATTATCTCGGAATACAGCAGAACATATTAATTACATTGACAGATTACAATCGAGACATAACAAAAATTTGAATCTCTTTGGAATATCACAAGTTGAATTACAATAAGGACTGTCAAGGGATTTGAATCATCGACAACTGAAGATGGAATTTTTTGCCTAGCGATGGTTTTTTGTTGTTTTGACCTATCGCGGGCATGTTTTCTGTCAACCATTTGGAGTTGACTGGATTTTATTGATTGATCTTTGTGTATATTTCTAAATTAAACTACCTGGAATTGTGAACGGTCTTTAAATAGCAATAAGCTGATGGACCATAATAAAGTTAATTAAGAAGAAGAAGAAGAACAATTTGTAAGGTTTTTGAATTTGAACTTTTTAAAACCGTTAATTTTATATCGATTTTGTAAGTTTTTACTTGAATTTTGTAACTTTAGTATTGATTTGATTTTTCTATCAATATGAAAAGATCAAGAAAAATTTTCTTTTCAAATAGAATCTACTCAAATCGAGGACCCCCAGTAATTAAAGTATGTTTTCGACACATGAAGGCAAAATTAATTTGCAATGTCTTTTAAAGTTTGGTTGCAAAAATTATGATTAATTATGACATTAGAAACATTCCAATTTATGATTGAATGCAAGTGTTTTGATAACAAACTTAATTACGATAGCTGCTCAAGAATAAATTAATAAAAACATTACAAGACAATTAATGGATTAAACCACGGATTGATTTTTTATTAAAGATTATTCAATGCCTTCCAAAAAATATTCAACTAGTGATACCTTAACTAATATGCATGAATTGGAAAAATAATTTATTATCAAAAACTGATTAGTCTGCAGATTTATATTGTAACCAATATAAAACAAGGTTTTGTCACGTGGACAAAGATTGATTTACAAAAGAAAAATAAAAAAAATGCAGTTCAGTTGCAATTTAGGACAGAATGATTACTTTTCAGCATCAGACATTTCGGAATCGGTTGTAAATTCACTCTCGTTATTTTTCTCTTCTTGATGCTCTTCTTCTGATTCACTAATATCCCATTGTGGATGTTCTGTCGGTACAGCGGGAGCTTCCTTAACATCTAATTTCAAGTCTAATTGTTGATCCATTCCCATATATGAATCTGTTTAAAAAAATACAAGCTTAATAAGAAGGAACACGATCATATTTTGAGATAAGTTACCTGATCTTAAACAAACTGTAAATGTAAAAACACCTGGCCATCTTGGGGCTGTAAATTTCAATTGCACTTCTTGATGATCGACTAAATTAGTGACGTGAAACGGAGCTGTTAATAATGTTTGTGACTTTCTATCACAAATATAAGTCCACCAATATTCTTGCTTGTCCTATGAAATAAATTAAATTTTGATTTCAAGTAATTAATAACAGCCAGCTTATTTGTTGAAACTTACTTCAGGATATGATGGACAATGAACACTGTGCGATGTCTTTGACCTTCCTTCTAACTTTTCACGTTTATTGATTTTCTGTTGGAATCTAAATTAAAGAATTGAAATTTGTTACAGTTCATTGTACATGTTGAAATAAGGATTTATCACTTACTTTTCCCATTCCATATCGTCGTCCTCGACAGACGAATTATTCTTTCGTTCGTCGTCAGTTGTACGATCTTCTTCGGGAGCAATTTCATTGTCACTTTCAGCACTAGACTCGTCGGCATCCGAATCATTTGATTCCTTCATGATTGGTTTGGCATTATTCTGTGGATCCTTTGTCTCTTTTGCATTAGTTGTGGCTGCTTGCTTCATAACGCCAATAACTGGTTTGGATTTTGATGATTTGGATTTAGGTTTTCCTTTGTGGCTCTTTGATTTAAGCCAAACTGGCTTTTTAGCTACCGGCTGAACATTTTCTTTTTGATCGTTATTATCAGCATTTTCATCTGCTTGCTTCTCCTCAGTATTCTCTTTAATATTTTGTTTCTCAACTGCTGTTAAATCACCAAATAATTCTCTCATGCTTCGTCGCACAAGATTCACAGTAACAGTCACAATTGCACCAGCCGTGACTACATTAGTATTTTCATCATCAACAACCTCAACTTTAAAACTAAAATCAATTAGTGGCATTTTGCCTAGAACTTTTATAACATCATCATATTCCTGTTCACTAAAATCTCTCAAAAGACTTCGACTCTCTTCATTCGGAAGTTTAGCAAATTGCTGTAGATTCTTAATGTAGCGCTTCTTATTGACAAAATATTTTAGATTATCCTCTGTCAAGTGTGGTAATTGAAGAAGTGGACTCTTGAATTCCCATAAGCCTTGGATTAACATTGGTGCTAGTTTCATGCAATTCTCAATTGTCTCAATTGAAGGTAATTTTGAGGCTGAAATTCTTCCAGCGTAAGCTAGCATAATTAATTGATTAACTACAGAGACCATTTCCTGTACTAAATAGGGTGCCTTTCTCAACACAAATTGCCTATCTTTTTCCAATGTATGAGGATTTAATGGTAAACGTGACAAGTGTGCATGAATTAATGCTCTTGTCTTGACTGAATAAAGTCGACACAATGGAATTTCTTTACATTTCTCGTTCAAATGAGGCAGTAATTTAATCAATGATGGAACTTCTTCATTATCAGTTGGACGTTCAATGACTTGTGAGTTGTGTCTCTTATCGAATTCGAGTGATGCTGCTAAAATCATAATTACTCTCTTAAGAGCCATATTTGGAGTTTTGTGGAAAAAATAAAAGTAAAGCTGTGTTGTATCCAGCAAGACTTTATCGCCGCTAAAACGAATACTTCGATACCACCAAGTTCCAACAGTGATAGGCAAAGCAACCATAAAAACAAGTGCATAAAGTCCTAAAACCCAAACTGAATTTTCCTTTTCAACAATCCAAGCAGGAAGAGCTATTCCAAAACTCATTGCAGACGGACCATCTGGATTTCCATACTTCTCCCAATTTTTCCTTGCATCATCATCTGTCAATGCTTTATATGCTTTTGTTAATTTTACGAACGCTTTCTCATCACCAGTCTCTTTATCTGGATGCAATACTATCGACTGTTTATGATAAGCTCTTTTAACTTCACTCTTCGATGCTCCTAAAGGAACTCCAAGAATTTCGTATGGATCAAAATTGGACATTTCATAATCAAATTGTGATACTTTATATGTTAGAAAGATTAATAGTGCCCATCCGAAAATTATTGAGCATTTTACAGCTAGTGTTTTGACATTTTTATATGGGTCTGCATTCGCAATAATTACTCGTTTCTTACAACATCCTTCACAATGACATTCTTCCTTGGACTTTCTTGGATCTAAAATAACATATTGGAGCAATTAGTACACTACACGAGTCATGACTCAGAGAAGCAGAAAATTAATTAAACATTCATGCACGTTTAACAATTTACTGTTATCTTTGTACTTTAATTTTCACATATATTTGAGTTTAAGTACCTTCAGATTTCTTTTTTGGCCAGAAATAAAACGTGGCTGGAATCAATATCAGCGCTAGAAAGGACAATATGAAGTAGAAGAATGTGCTCCCTAAAAAGAAAGTATCAAAGATTAAAAATTAATCTACAATTCGGCAATCTCAAAAGATTAATTTAATTTTATAACTAAAATAGTATGTAAATTGACTGTGAATTCATAATGTGCTTATTGGGCGAGTACTTACCACTCTCATCATATTGAAACTTTTGTCCCATTTCCTTTATTTCACTACTTTTTAGAATAAATACCTATTTAAAAAAGGTTTTGTCATCAATTTCAATATATTTTCGTTGCTGGAGACTTTTATGCACAAAATTCTCCAATAATTTGAACCTCCGTCCGTTGAGATGCAAAATGCTTTAGAGCATTGATTGATAGCTGTTCAAAGAAGCTTAGTTATAGCTACTTACTTATTTGCAAAAATATTCATGAAAAAACTGATAAAAAGAACCAAAATACTTTTTGAATTATAAACATTTCAAAATATAAATGTAAACAATAGAAAAATATTTTCTTAATTTATGAATCAAAAACATGCTTTCGATAGCCACATGCTGTTAAATACATAAATGACTACCTCTAGAACTGATACATTAACATCCAGACCAGTCTTTTGTTGCTTTAACACGTGATTTTGATCATTTTAAAATTAAAATCCAAAATTTTACTTTGTTTATCAGTTCAGTTCAGTTCAGTTACCAATTTTTTTGTTGGAAGGTTCGAAATCTCAAATTTCGTTATTATTTCTAATTAGTTCTGTTAATTATACTACAAATGTGGAAAGAAATTAATATAAAATAGCTATCATTGAGTATTTATTAACGTAATAATATTCAAATTAAGTATTGGAGTTTACTCCATAATAATTAAATTGATTTAATTGAAAATTGTCACATTTTGGAATTATTATAAATCCACAGTGGGAAAGGTACAAGTTTAAAATTTCTTAATTAAAGTGGAAAAGAATGAAAATTGAGTTATTTATTTTAACGCTTATGAAAGATTTAAATTTCACCAATACATTTGCAGAAAAAGAGAGCTTTAAAAAAGCGAAACGAAGAGCACGAAGCAAGCCTGAAAAATTTTCTATCATTCATTCGAGATTCAAACTTCGAACGCTCTAGTAATAATTGAATTCGCTTGTGTTAATTAAAATCAATATCATATAATAATGGGAAAAACAAAAGATCCAATGTCCTTTGCCAAGGATTTTCTTGCTGGTGGTATTTCAGCAGCTATTTCAAAGACCGCAGTAGCTCCAATTGAACGTGTCAAATTGATTCTTCAAGTACAAGCCGCTAACAAGCAAATCGTCGCTGGACAAGAATATAAGGGTGAGTAGAAGAGAAGAAAAATTAACAAGTAGTACGATTAAATATGGCTGACTTTTTTTTGCATACTAAAGAACATGATTAAATGCCCTTGATTTCAGTCTATTCTGGTGATATAGATAGAAAATGATTATTCCTATTGTTATCTAACAGATTAGACAGCATTTTCATTGATTTATCGTATCATAAAAATGTTCGAAAATCATGTGATTCCACATTTTCTGTCTGCACTGAAGATTTTTACAGAAAATTGATTGCGTAACAAGAAGTGAAAAATCTATTTTAATGAATTGATTTCGTCTTTAGATCAATTTAAAAAAAACTACCTGTTCGTAATTAAGAGTGTATTTAGTAGCTATTTAGAGAAAATCTAATTAAAATTCGCGAGTTTGTTAAAAAAAATAACCTCAAAATTATCATTACGGCTGTGATATAACTTTATTAATTTTTTTCCTTCAATTTTTATTCTTTAGGTATCATCGATTGTTTTGTCCGTATTCCAAAGGAACAAGGTTTCGGTGCTTTCTGGCGTGGTAATTTGGCCAACGTTATCAGATATTTCCCAACCCAAGCCCTCAACTTTGCCTTTAAGGATGTCTACAAACAAGTCTTTTTGGGTGGTGTTGATCAGAAGACACAATTCTGGCGTTACTTCTTCGGAAACTTGGGATCTGGTGGTGCTGCTGGTGCCACATCACTTTGTTTCGTCTATCCATTAGATTACGCTCGTACCCGTTTAGGTGCTGATGTCGGCAAAGGAAATGCTGATCGTCAATACACAGGTCTTGTCGATTGTCTTAAGAAGACCGTCAAATCTGATGGAATCATTGGATTATATCGTGGTTTCAGCGTCTCAGTTCAAGGTATCATCATTTACCGTGCTGCTTACTTCGGTTGCTACGATACTGCTCGTGGATCATTACCAGATCCAAAGAACTCACCATTCATCGTCAACTTCGCTATTGCACAGGTAAGAAAATTCATTGCCTTTATCTTCTTCATTTCTCCAAATCTCCCTGACCTTACATAATCAAATAGCCGTTTAGATAGTCATTCATTTATTACTTGGTAACAATAACAGACAAAAGTTCTCTAAGATGTTCAAATTGACGCATCGTTTGCATGTGATTTTCCTTCATCATCATCAATATGCGTCACAAATCACATAACATGATAATTTTTTTCACACATTTCCAAATTCCTCCTGTAAAGCAAAAGATATCTTCTATTTAAGGTTTAAAAATATGTAGATATAGTCTAGGCCCCATTAGATAACTCTTTATAGAGAGTAAAAATAATTTTTGGCAAGAAAATTTGTATTTTCATGCTTTACGTAATCATTTTTCAATAGAGTTTAATGAATGAGTCGTGGCTCTCGATGAGATTTTCTGAGAGACATATATACCCGTTAAATTCTCATTTCGTTGAAATTGTAAAGTTGAAAGTCTAGCAGACTCTGTACTGGAGAGAATACTAAATGATCGCATGTGTATTGTTTAATAAAATTTGTCGCCGCAGTCCTTATCTCTCTATTTTTTCTTTTCAATGGCATTATATTTCAAAAATGTATTACGAAGATTTTCTTGTGACTTACACGTGAATTTAGCAATGCCTTACATTGAGATATATATTTTCCAAGTATTTTTAAGATAAACGAAAATGAAGTGCATACAAAGTTTAATTATTTTGTATAAGTCTGGCGCAGATTCAAGTAACTGACCTTAAATTCTACGTTTGTTGTTGTCGACGAAAATAGACACCACATGATGATGATTAAGTGGTTACCCCATCACACGTGCTAATTTAAATACACTTGATTATTTTAATCTTCCTCATTCTAATTCTTTTTCTAAAATTATATTTACATTGTTTCTATTTTTGTAATTTAAAGGTCGTCACAATCTGCTCTGGTATCTTGTCATATCCATTCGACACAGTAAGAAGACGTATGATGATGCAGTCTGGACGTGCAAAGGAAGACATTATGTACAAGAACACACTCGACTGCTGGGTCAAGATCTCCAAACAAGAAGGTACAAAAGCCTTCTTCAAGGGTGCTTTGTCCAACGTTTTCCGTGGTACTGGTGGTGCTCTCGTCTTGGTTCTTTACGATGAACTCAAGAATATCATTGCCTAAGTTAATTTAAATTGAATAATTGTCGTTAATAACAGCAAATTATTTACTTATTAATTTAAATTAAAAAAAACACAAAAAGTAAACAAAAAAAAAGTAACACGCAAGTATAGAAACAAAAAACTAAAAAAAACATCTTAAAAAATTTCTTTTGCGACAACATTTCCAACTTAAGACTAAATTTTCCCCATCGAAAATTAGCCCAAAGCTCACGTCAAAAGTGGTGCATAGAAAAAAAGAGATAAGCAAATTATCAGTAATAAGTTTTTGAAATAATTTATTTGTGAATTGAAACTTCGTTTAGCACGTAACTCTTTTTGATGGACGGAAAGGAGTAGATCCTTTCTTGAAATAAACAAAACATTGTTAATTAATGTTGACTGGCAAAATTCAGGTACATTCTTCAATCTCTCTATCAATCCAATTCTCAGAAGTTCCTCAACTTTTAGTATCTTTTCAAAATTCCCTTTTTTTGTCCTGAACAAGAACAAAAGCGCAGGTAGATAAGCAAGTAATAACATTCCCATCTGATTTAAAATGAAAATGAAAAGAATTTCTACCAACAACCTATTGTAGAACGAATTTTGAGGACTATTCTGCATTTCTATCAGGTTTTCAATATTTGAAAACTACAGCAGTCAATATTTTGCCAGTAATGAGTCGAAAAATAAGCAATTTTCAGTTGGCTATTAAATTAAATACAGCATAAGAACGCGCCTCTAGTTTTAAGACGACATACAAGAAAATGATTGAGCGAAAGAAATGCAATAGTATTGTAATGGATACGAAACAAACGTGAAAAATAATTTAAAATGTTTTAATTTCTATTAATAGTGGACACAAGCGAATTCATTCTTAAAAATTAAAAAAAAAATTTGTCTTTTAAGACTCTCAGAATTTTAATATGAAAATTTTGGGACCTTATAGGAACCGATATAAAAAAATTTAAATAAAAGTTCACAAAAAAATTAGAAAAACCGAAATAAATCAATGACTTTTTATTATTCATTATGTGAATTTTCAGAGAAATTGCCATGTCCTACAATATAAATATATTTTTTACGCCCACATTCACGTTTTTCTTACATTTATTACGTCACAGAAGAGGTACAAAAGAATCAATATTCGTCCTGACCTTGAAATCAATAAGTTCTGTAAAAAGAAGCTAAAAAGTGCATGTAGGGTGTCACGGAAAATTTCTACAGAGACAAGAGATATTTTTGGTATAAGAAGCACACGAGACTTAGTACATAACTTTATATAAACTCAAACCACATCAATGCGCTTGCACAAAAAAATGCAATTATCGATTAGAGTCAAAACTTAAAATTCCTAATAATATTTATAAATGGTCTTTATATGACATTAATCTTTTGTTTGATTAAAGGTGTTAAATATAGTCACTCTTAAAAAATGCCAAGGTGACATTAACAGATGATTCTTCTTTAATACAGTAGTTACATCACGACTAAGGTAGCGAAAAGTCAATAAACGGAACAACCTTGAGATCAATAAAATAATGAAAATGAAGAAAAATGTGCAGTTGCACAGAATAAGTTTTCACTATGAAAAAGAAGACTTGTTGTATTTAAAGAGATTATATTTAATTTTATTAAGAACTGAAACGCTTATATCAGCAACTTAAACCTAATTGTGCCTACAAAATAATATGACTTTTTGCACGTTAAACGGAAATTTCGAGAAGAGCGGATACTGAAAATGTTAAAAAATAATTATGTCAAGTCTAGACGAATATTGAAGCTCACCAGAGCTATGCTCGATCGTGGGTCAAATTGTTTGTTGCCTGAAAACTATAAGGTCGTTGCACAGAAATCATAGGATCAAAACTCGATATAAAAACTTATAGATTTTGAAGACAACATTAAAAAGTGCCATCATAGTAGCGATTCGGATTCCACTCTTATTTGAATGTCATGTGGATTGATACGAGCTAAATTGCTATTCTTCACGAAGCACGTTTTTAAGTAGCTACAGATTCTTCTTGACATCAGAACAGCTGATGGTGTTTTAACATAGCCCGCCTACAAAGTTTTAATTATGTAATGTAGGAATAAATTTTTTATTAAAATAGTTCTCAAAAATTAAATTAAGAGTTAATGATTAAAAGTAGTTCAAGTATATCAAGCACAATTTTAAGCAAATTTCAATTTGACATACATCTAATGTAATTTTTCCAGTAAAGCAAATAGACATGCACTCTTTTTAATACGAATGAAATTATATTAAAGTTCGTAAGTCCTTTTTTTGTCAATTGTGGATAAACGCATTATTGGACTCTACAGCTGTAAGTTAATTGTTCTTCATCATGTGTTTATAAATAAATTTAAATCATCATTGCACTAAATACCTCAATTCCTTTCCTTCTCTTCTTACTTTCTAGATCAAGTGACCATGTGATTTTATTCAATGTATGTGCTTTAAGAATGTTCGAACCACTTGTTTATCATTCATTTTATTTTCAAATACGAATGAATTTACAAATTAAAACAGAAGCCAATGACACGCTGGCATTAAATTTTGAATAGGTGATCTACATTAGTTTTGAGTTTTATTTCCTTGCTACTTGAGAACAATTAGTCAAATCATGTTGCTAACTTATCAGATTGTATGAAATATACATTTTTGCGAGATAAATAAATGAAGGTTTAAGCAACACCTTTAGTGTAAATTAGGTAGTTTTTAAACGGGAAAATTTTTTGTGTCAACTCCCACAAATTCAGTTCAGGTAATAAATAATCTTCAATTTTTTTTTCTTCGATCTCTTAATCTCTTTCTTAATTTAATTTAACATGGAATGTCGATCATAAATCCTTTGTCTTTGTTCTTGAACCTGAAAAAAATTTGGCAGAATTAGAAATAAGGAAAATAAAGTCATAAAATTTATTAATACCTGACGCTTCCATTTGTCTTGTTGGTTTGTGACTCGATTTAAAACATTACTTCTAGAAGCATTAACATTTACCATTGGCAAATTATGAGCATTTGGGTCTTGATGCATTGATGATGCATCGTCCTGTAAATTGTTTAAGACATTTTCTTTAAATGATTGAATGGACTCGATGAAAAAAATTACACACAGAGGAAATGAATGTTTACCGCTACTTTAATCATAAGTTATAAACATAAAAAGAACATAAATGTAACATATAATAATTAGCTATAAAATTTTCTAGTAAGCCTTTAATATGTTTCGTCATAATTGTCAATCAGTTATAAATTAATATGGTTCATGCAAATCTAATCATGCTATTTTGATCATGGTTCAGTCAAGTCCTTAATTAATAATAAATAGAAAAATCACACATATTAGCAACACAAAAATTGAGGCATTAATTAATCTTATGAAAACTAAGATTGCTATTAGTTTCGCTCACTTCATCAAGATGTTCCTGATAGTTCTGTTTTGATCGTTTATTCAATAAAGGCTCGAGAAGATTGAGGAACAGCATATAAATTGAAAGCAAAGAGATTATCCATATCACAATGATGACAACTACCTAAAAGTTGAATTTAAAAATGCATGTCAAGTCAAGAAGCTTATGTAGAGAAAGTTCCATACTTTGATAACAGTCGTGTTCCTATTTTCGTGCTTACACTCGCATCTCGGACAAAACTCTTGCTCTTTACCTTTAATTTTATCAGCATACTTCGGGAGAATTACTGAATCACAATCACTTGAATTAAAACAAATATTTATTCCTTACTGGATCTTTCGATTGTCTGTAATTCTTACCATCTTGCCTGTCCTACATTTGCAATGACTAATATTCTTTCTGTACTATCGGTGTTATTCAAAACAGCATTAATCGATGGACATATACACTTACAACGCTTATCTTCGTATAAGTTATAAGATTGTGCCTTTTTATTGGAATTAACAAAACAATGAGAACTAAAATTATCTTACATTTTGGTAATTTCGATGTTCTTACATTTATAAAGTATGGAATTTGTATCAATATGATGCAACATATCATTAGAAATCTCTTCATGCTGTCTTAATTTTGTTTAAGCCTTATTATCACTTTAATTAAAGATATTTTATTTCAAAAACGTTTGCCTTTCACAATTTATTTACTTCCACTTAATTTAATTTTTTACAGGGGCTTTTTGAGCATCAAAACAACTTTATTCAAATCGAGGACACCCGATAACATTAGAAAAATTCAAAACAAATAAAAGGATTTGAGTGATTAGAGAGTGTTTAACAGTAAAAATGGAAGTGTTTGATAGCGAAGATGATAAAGAAGTTCTTACAAAAGAAATTGGACAGCCTTCCTTTGATACAACCAGTCAAAACGTCAATTTTAAAATCGTCAGTTTCACAATAACAATGTGTTTCAATATTAAATGTTATTAATTTTAATATTCGTTTTAGATGCATGACATTATGAAGCTTGGATGTTGCCAGAAATCATTAGTTGTGGCTGCATACAGAACATTTTTGGATCTTTGTGAAACGAGAAAATTTGAGGAAGTTACCTATCATTACATTTCGGAACTGGATGTTATCTATTTGAAAGTTCAGAAAAAGAAAGATGAGACTGATTTTGAAGTTGTTGTTCCAGTATTGTCGTCAAAAAAAGTTAGCTTTAAGCAAATTGAAGGACTTCAGGAGGCATTTAAATGCGCATGTATAACTTTAGCTATTTGTGATATGAATTCGTTAATTATGTACTACAAGATAACAAAGCATTAGGACTAGCTATATTAAAACAGAAATATAATGTCATTTATTTTCAACAGTGTTATGTTTAATTGCACACAAAATTAATTAAGCTAATAAAAAGTACTTTACATTGTAAGAATATGTTGAACTTTGTATATATGTCTTGGGGATAAAAATAGGAAGTCACTATTATAATAAAGTGTCTTTTTTATTAAGCTTTGCATTTTTTCCACTACCAGACTAGTTAATTGTCATCATAAGTACAAAAGACTGCATCTCCGCCCACGTTGACTAAGCACTGAGCTTGATTTTTGTGTGGATTATCAATTAATATCAATTCTGTCATATAATATGCGATTAGCATATTACCACCCAATATGTGAATATGTGCTCGTACAATGGACAAAAGCTGCAATCAAAAATGAACATCAGTAATCTTACAATACTAAAAATTAAATCAATAAAGTTTCACCTCAGTTATAAAGGTATGAACAAATCCGCAAATACCTCCGTAGTCTCGAACATTTTGCGTTTCACGGATAAAGCAAAAGTTCAAATTGCCTAGATATTTTTCGATTTTTGCTCCAGGAACAAAACTTAACGGTGAAATATCGACGAACTTATCATTCCTAAATGTCATTTTTGTTGAATTTATAAATTGTCCTGAGCTTTTTTTATGTAGCTTATTTTGTGGTGAAGTAATTTCCGATATTGCATCTTCTTCTTCTAAACTAAATATTAGTTCCTCGTCAAGTTTTCTGTCATGGCTAATAGATTGCACAAGTTTACTTTTAGCCTTTGTTGTCGCTTTTAGAACCATTCCCGTAATTAAGAGCTGTATCTCGTCCTGAGGTAAATCTAATTGGAACTGTACATTTGTTATATGACAAGGAACGGCACCACGCAGCTTAAAGAATATCGACTGTAATAGACGTTGAAAATGACGTGCGAAATTACTATTTGACTGGTGACTTGATGGCATTTTTGTGCGCCATACTAGAATAAAAATCAACCTTATTAGTATTCTTTATTTTAGAAATTTATAAACTCAATGTACCTTGAACAAACATTTGCAAGTTTCGAATATTTTCCACGTCATAATCATATCCTGGAACTTTTTGATTATTTACTATTTTTATTCCTTCATGTGAGCTTTGCTCCATCAGCATGTTGAATAATTCCAAATCTTGAATATCATCAATTTCCAATATGCATGTTTGTTTATTTCCTATTGCATAATCTAATTTTTCTTCATTATCCGAGTCTTCTGTGTCAGAAAAGTTTTTATTTAATTTTTGAATATCATTAATAATGTCGTTGACGACTGGTTGATTTGTCAAACGGTATGTCTCGCGATTTTTTTCAACTGTATTCTGTATGTTTTTTTGAAGTTCAGCAAGTTTCTCAGAAGACTCATTGAAGGCATTTCCTGCTACAATTTTTGGAACTACTGGAGGATGCAGCGCCGACATGTATACAGCAGTGCCAGTGCCTATAAGAGACATTATTTTGTCACCAATAGTTACTTGAACGTTTAGACGAAATATTCCATTCATTCCTTTAACTTTCAGCTTATTTATAAGCAAACGGTGCAGCTCGTATTCTGTTGCCATAAAAAAAAAACCTTAAAGACATCTCAAGAGAAAAAAGATTACATTATAATCATACCTAAAAATGGCAATCCATCGCTTATTTCTTTGGCATTTGATTCTGAGCGTAAATCTCGCTTTGGTCTGCAGACAGTTGCCTGAATTAAGCATCCTGTTCCAACAACTTGAAGATTGTCTGGCAATTCAATAGTTGCTAAAATAACGTCTGGAACATAGCCGCGCCTAACATTAAGACAAAAAAAAATGTTACAAAAGTTATTAATAATGTAATTATTCTCTCTTGACTTACTTGCATACACAGCACTTCCCAATATTAGCTCCACCAACTTGAATTGATGAACGAGAATAAGGTATGTGACAAATGTTGCAACTTTGTGGCGCATGCTTTCCGTTAATTGCATTGTTTCCAGATGCATTAGCCGAAACGTTATTAAGAACGTCGTTGATGTCTTCTCCATTCAATTTTTCGTCTATGTCAGATGAAATTATAATCTTTTGATTATTTTCTTCAACCGTTTGCATTGTTTCTTCCACAGATGTTGCAAGTAATAACTCTTTGGGGTTTACCGTTTTTGAAATTTTAATTTCACCGTCTTCATGATTATTGCTGTCTGAATAATGAAGATTTATAATAGCTGCTGTTCCAGTTGCTGATAAAATTGTGATGTCGTCATTAACACAAACAGTTTCATTGTATCCTAAAACTACATTGCATCCTAATGATTTTGCATGTCCTCTAATTTCCATTCTCAATTCATTAAACCATGAATCTCTAGTTTCCATATCATCAGGATTTGTTGATTTGTCTAGTAATTTGACACTTCTTGCACTTACAGTAGCGCCGAGATGAATAATGAAATTTTTCGGATATTTCGTAAGAGTTAAGAAAGGATATTCAAGCATGTCCATATTTTCTTGATTAAGAGGCTTCAGAACTGCACTCGATGGCATTTTTACAGCATTTCGATCAAAACCAGGTGTTAATGAGTTTCCTAAATAAATTCAACATTTCAAGACATTTTTAAACTTGATAAGTATGTGTACATGATGTGAATGTTTTGAGCGATTTAGTTTTTAATATGAGTGTTTTTTTTGCATTTTTCAAAAATAATTAAAAACATTTAAAATGAATATTTTTCAAACGAATCTAATATTATTTTCAGAAAATGGAGGATTTTAAAGCATTTAATTAAATTTTGTCTATTCATTACGATTAACCTTTTCGATTTTTATATTTAACAACTTGATGCTGAGTTATAAGTCCAGAAAATCAAAGTCAATAAAGGTTTATAAGTCCAGATACAAATTGCACCTGAACTTAAAAACGTCACGTGCATTTTATAAGTCCAGGGGCAAATACAGCTGGAATTATAAACTGCACGAGAGGTTTTTAAGTCCAGGTACATTTTATATCTGGACTTATAAACCTTACGTGTGGTTTATAGTTCCAGAAAATTTATAAATTTTACTTATGAACTTCTAGTGCGATTATAAGTCCAGATACATTTTTCTGGACTTATAATCCTTGAAAATTATTTGTGAAACTATTTCAATTTTTTTTTTCTTTATTAATTATGATTATGCATTTGACAATAGGCGATTCCAGTAGGGTAAATTGCAAAAATCTGACTTCAAATGAATTTTATGTCGAAATTTTTCACTAGATCTTACAATCTTTTCAGTTTATCTGATGTAATTTTTTATTTCCCATCTATTTAGTTATTTGTCCAAGCATGAATTGTCCTAATTATTAAGATATTTCACTTCTTCGGCCCGTTGCTTTGTGACCAAAAATAGAATTTTGTAAGTTTCAACAGGGTTTTCAAAAATTTTGTATCAAATACTCATCTTTGTAGCATTAAATGTACACTTAATCTTGGATAATTAAAATAATGGATTCTTTATTTTAATCCTTGCAGAATAGGAAAATGGAATTTTTAACTTTAAATAAACTTCTTTTCACGATAACAATATTTACAATAATAATCAGATTCCTACGGTCAATATATATATAACTTAATTATTCAACACTCCTCCTTAATATTAACTTCGGATATATTATGTTAATATTACTAACGCAGTGAAATGGCATCAGTGACCTAAATGGTAGAGCGTTGGCCTTACGTGCCAAAGGTCCTGGGTTCAATCCCAGGCCATGTCTAATTTTCGAAGCTCTTTTTCCATTTCACCGTTCTAGTTACGAAGCTCGGTTCGTGTGTTGGGTGTAGTATTGATGTCTTTGGCATAGAATATGCCTCCTTTGCTAGGTATACAAGGATATACTAGCATCTGGATGACTTCCTTATGGCATCTTGCGCACACGAATTGTGACTAGGTACATTGCAGGGTACATCAGGTCTTATGACGTACTCGTGTCTTTGCAATGTACAGAGCTTGCAAGTGGTTCGGATCCCACTATAAACTGTAGGTCTAAAGGGTGTGGTACAATAGATTCTGTTCTAATTTGAATCGCAGTGCCTCCAGCTGAAAGGCTGGGCCCTTCACACATTATATATACTAACGCAGTCCACAATCGTTAGTAAATTTCTTCAGTTTAATATTTCCTAACGGCATGGTCATCATATCAGCTATATTTACATCAGTGCTGCAATACTTCAGTTCAATCTCTCCTAAATCAACCAACTGCTTCACATAATGGTATTTAGTATCAATGTGTTTGCTTCTGTTGCTAAATTTCTGATTAGATATCAATTTCATACTACTTTGACTGTCCGTGTACAGAATACCTTTATCTGGAACGACAAACTCAGAAAAAGAATCGGTCAACATTTTAACCCATTTTAGCTCTTTGCAACTTTCTTAGAGTGCGATGTATTCAGCTTCCATTGATGATAACGATACTACGTCTTGTTTTCTGCTGCACCATGAAGCAACACCACCATTAATTCCACAAAGAAAACCACTGATAGATTTTCGGTCCAACGAATCTTCAGCCCAGCTTGCATCAGAATAAACTTCCAATTCTCCAACCTTTTTCTTATCACTCAACATCAAACTAAGATTCTTGGTACCATTCAAATACCGAATAATTCTCCTCGCTTCTATCAAATCGGTCTTTGTTGGTTTTGAAATCTTTTGACTCAATATTCCAACAGATGCAGCGATATCAGGTCTTTTTTTTGTGCTAACATACAACAGTTTACCATTGAGTTTTCTACACTCATTATTTGATTCTAAATAATTCTCATCATGATGCCTAAAATAGCCAGTCATCAAAGGATATTTTGAAAATTTTCCATCATTAGGTCCAGCTTCTTCCACAATCTTCTCAATGTATTGTTTCTGACTTATATGAAAATTTCCATCTTTATCACGTTTCACGTCAATTCCTAAAAAGTGCAATGTGATTTTTAAATTGTTTCACCAGTTTTTCATTATTCGATGCGACTAGAATGTCATCGACGTGAACAATCATATAGCAAGTATCATTTCCTTTCTTCATGCTATACAGACATTTATCAACTTCGCTTTGCTTAAATCCAAAACTAATCACTGCTTCATGATAAATTTTATTCCATGCTCTTGCTGCTTGCTTTAATCCATGAAGACTTTTTCTAAATTTGCAAACATCATTTCCCTTCTCAAATCGTGGTTGCTTCATATATATCTCCTCCTCGATATCACCATTTAAGAATGCAGTCTTAATATCAAGCTGCTTAACATGATAATTATTAACACCAGCTATCGACATGAGAATCCTTGTCCTTATCGACATAACCATACTTCTGGGAAAATCCTTGAGCAACTAATCTTGCTTTGTATGAACACACCTGGCCTTTATCAGGTCGCTTAAGCTTGTAAACCCATTTACACCCTATTGTACGTTTATTCTTTAGCAATTTCACGAGATCCCAGGTTTTATTTCGATTAATGGACTTAATCTCTTCCTCCATAGCTTTTTTTCACTGTTCAGCATCTACACAGCTCATAGCCTGTTTAAGTGTCTTAGGCTCAAAATCAACTCTCGATAAATAGGTAACAAAATCGCCAAGACGTTCAGGTTTTTGTCCTTTATTTCGTCTACTTGATGCTCTAATTTCATTACTTCTTCCATTCTCCTGCTGAACCGAAACGTTATGATCATTCATTAAATTATGATCAACGACGATTTCCTGACTTTGATCATTCTCAATATCTTCATGTTCAATTTGTTCTAGATATGTCTCTTCTTCATGATCTTCTACCTCATTTTCATCTTGAGATTCCTCAGCATCATAGAACAATTCGGAATTTTTAAATCTTTGAACATCATTTGTAGAATTAGAATAAAGCGGAAAATGCACCAAATCACTGCTGTTACTCTTTATTTCATGAGATGAATCCTGACTTATCTTCATGAACTTTTCTTTCAAAAATACAACATCGCGTGACACAACTATATTCCGCTGCATCACATTTGCAAGTCGATATCCAAATTCTTTGAAATTTGAGAAATCTGGCTTCTTGTCGAAGAACTTCTCATATGGGGACTTTGGATCATCTTTGCTCAAAACACGATTCAATGAGTAATTCGCATTCATTATAGCTTCATCCCAGTACTCTCGTGACATCCCTGACTCAGTAAGCATCATCCTACATGCCTCAACTAAAGTCCTATTCTTTTTCTCAGAAATACCGTTTTGCTCTGGTGAGTAAGCCACAGTAGCGGTGAAATGGCATCAGTGGCCTAAATGGTAGAGAGTTGGCCTTCTGTACCAAAGGTCCTGGGTTCAATCCCAGGCCATGTCTAATTTTTGAAGCTCTTTTTCCATTTCACCGTTCTAGTTACGCACACGAATTGTGACTAGGTACATTGCAGGGTACATCAGGTCTTATGACGTACTCGTGTCTTTGCAATGTGCAGAGCTTGCAAATGGTTCTGATTCCACTATAAACTGTAGGTCTAAAGGGTGTGGTACAATAGATTCTGTTCTAATTTGAAACGCAGTGCCTCCAGCTGACAGGCTGGGCCCTTCACACATTATTATTAAGCCACAGTACATTGAAATCGAATTCCCTCTAAACGTAAATACTTCTGAACTTCCTCACTTAAATATTCTGTCCCTCGATCCGTACGGAACATTTAAACTTTTCGATCGAACGTGTTTTTCAACAGTTCGAAATACTCTATGACTTTAGACTGTACTTTGCTCTTTGCCTTCAAAAAATATACTGCCGTACATTTCGAATAAACATCCGTGAATGTTGCAAAATATCAAAATCCTCCAACTAAGGTAAATGGCATAGGGCCACAGATATCACTGACTATGCAATCAAGTGTATTTTCAACAGGTGTTGCCTTTTTTGGAAATGGATTTCTTGAAATTTTCTCTACAATGCATGATTCACACACATTTGAGCAATCACAATCGGCAATTTTCAAACCTTTATCTTTCATCGCGAGTATATCATGCAAATTTCTAAGAGCTAGTTTTCGATGCCATTCATGTACACAGCATCTATCCACTCTGTCATTAACCAAACATGATTTTTCAACTTCAGCTTTTACAAGATACATATCGCCTGATTTCTCAGCAATCTGCAATTGTTCCACTCCTTCTCGTTTAAGGTAACAGCCAGTTGAATCAAAAATAGTATAATAGCCCTTATTACAGAGCTTTGAGACAGAGATCAAATTACTGTCAATGCATGGCACCAGAAGTACGTCAGTCAGATCTACACTAAAGCTTTTGTTTCCTACAAATACATTCAAACGAACATCCCCTCGTCCTATGTACTCAACCTTCTCACCATTAGCAACGGTAACCGTACCCCTAAAACTTTCATCAAAACTAATGAAAAACGACTTACTTACGATCATAACAACTTCTTCGCCCTCCACTGAATTTTGCCATTTTGACGGTTTCATCATTCAACATTGGACAATTCCGCTTGATATGTCCTTCTCGTTTGCACTGATGACACTTGATGTGCTTCTTTGAACCAATTTCAGTTCTATTGATACAAAACATATCAGATCCTTTTCTTACAT